AACCCCAAGCCCTACAACCTAAACCCTAAACCATCCTAAAAGCTAAACCTGCCGGGCAACTGGCGACGGGATGCCCTTGATAGTCAGCTCGGTCTCCCAAGGATCCAGGTGCCAGACCTCTGCAGACACCCACAGAAAAGAAACAACAGCTAGCTTAGGGTTTAGGGTTTAGGGTTTAGGTAGGGTTTAGAGTTTAGGGTTTAGGGTTCGGGGTTTCGGTTTTAGGGTGACAGACAACAGCAGGCTCGGAGATAGCCGGGACACAACCTGTACAACCTAGTCAGACGCAGTCCATGGAGTGGGTGGGTTTTTTGACGAACAGCGGCCGTAAGGGCCCCTACAATACGAAGCCCACTACTTAGGGTCTCGTAATAAATAAACATATGTATATATATATATACACAGATGTATATATATATATAGATATAGATATAGATATAGATATAGATATGTATACGTACATATACACATGTATATATATATACACACACATGTATGTATGTGTGTATATACATACATATACACATAGATCTTTATACATGGACGTCTTTTGTCTGAAGCTGAAGTAAACAAGGCACATTATGTCCAGAACAAAAACGCAACTAAGACCGAAGGGACAGACCAATACCTTATAAGGGTTCAAGTTTGATAAGGGGATGGGACACAAGGGCTTAGGGCTTGGATTAGGGTTTGGGATGGGGCGTTTTTCGGGCTGCGAAGCTGCATCGGCAACCTGCTTAAATACAACACGTGTCCACGCAAGACCCCTCTCTCTCGCAATATGTATATATATATATATATAGATGATCATGAAATAGTATGTACACACATATGTATATATATATATATACTTATATATACATATATATATATATATATAGATATATATATATAAGAGAAAGAGAGACAGAGAGAGAGAGAGGACACTCTCACCGCTAGCCATTCACACCCCCCTAGAGTCGGACTCGGTCCGCAAGCCGCAACACAATGCGCCACGTGATCTTTTTCCAGACGCCACAGCCTTTTCGCAGAGCATGGTTTCGACCTCCCGGGGCTGGAGTTAGGGCTCTGGGTCCTAAAAGTAAATCACACTGAGGACCAGCAAAACGTAGGTTTTTGGGTGTTAAGGTAAGGTTGAAAGCCGGGTTTGTAGTGCTCTACAGTGAATGCTGCCCGGGATGTTGAAGGAATACGCTTGTTGATCATTCATGCCACGTGAATTGAGTGAACATGGGTCGTCAGAAGCACGGCTATCAGGAAAGAAACTACCAGACTATCAGTACGTTACAAATGGAAATAAGCGAAGTAAGCGACGACAACGGTTGTCAGTTCTGACAAGAGACACCGTGACAAGAGACACTCCAAGCATACCTGGAACACACCCGAAACCCCTCAACCCGAAATATAAACCTAAAGTCTAAGTCAAGCGCTGAATGCCGGCTTTGGCCTGCTACAACCACTTTAGAGGCCTGAACCGCACTGGCATCCCCGCCTATTCCTGTATGACTATGGTCTACGATGCAACAAATTTATTACGGCCCCTGCCCTCCACCCTTAGCCCTATCTGACCGCACAGGGCAAGACGGGCTTGACCCTCCACCACAAACCCTGAACCCTGAGCCCCGAACGCTGAACCCTGCACGCAGAACCCCAAAACCCTAAACCCTGAACCCTACACTCTAAACCCCCAACCCTGAACCCCCACACGAAGTGTAATGTATTAGAATAGGGTTTTGGGGCCCATTATACTTTATAATTCTAACAAGGAGCTCCCAAAATAGTATAGGGAATTATCAAGGCCCCTACAGTGGCGACCCGAGCCCGGATTTCTGGCACCCCAATGAGGATTCAGGGGCTGTGGTTCAGGGTCGGGTTCGGGATTTAGGATGTATGCGGTTTTGACTAGGCTTCTTGACATTTAAAGATTTAGAGCTTTAGGGGATAAGGTTTTATAGGGTTTTAGGGTTTAGGTGTTTGAGGGGTTTAGGGAAACTTAGAGGTTGAGGATGGTTTAGAGTCTACTTAAAAGGATCATGGGACTTAGTAAGTAGGGTTTAAATTAAGGTAACTAGACTTATATTTACTTCTCCCCAAATAAGGGACTGAAAACCTTACTTACTAAGTACCATGATCCTCCAAGCACCCATCCTTAACCCCAAAGTGCCTCGCGAACGTCTGCCAGGGAAGGCAGTCGGAGGATATCCCTGGCGCAAGTCTCGGGAACGGCTCTAGGGTTGGGCCTTACCAAACTGGAAAGGGCTTTGGGCTATGTTGCGCTATAGCTGTAGGGAATATACCGGAATATCCTTGCTAACTAGTATGTTCCGACCCCAAACCCTAAACCCTAAACCCTAAACTCTATATTAATTTTGGTGTTGGGGGTTTACAGTAGGGATTTAGGAACGAAGAAGAAGGTCGGTAAAATGGAGGAGCATGTGACTTTGAAATGGGCTGGTAGCACGTATCGATAGGACTGCTGCTCACAAGTGATAACCACTACGGTGATTTCACGAAATGTGTGTGTATATATACATATATATATACACACACATACATCATACCCACTCCCTAAACCCAAAACCACATACCCTCAAGCTTATACCCTACTCATCCCTACTCCTCAAGTCCACCCCTCTCAGGTATCCCCTTGTAAACCTCTCACCAAAGCTTGAGTTCCTAAACCCTAAACCCTAACATTTTAGATGAGGCCCTAAAGCCAAGGAGCCCGGCGACCCTAAACCTTGAGACACACCCTAAACCCTAAACCCTAAAACCCCAAGCCCTAAACCCTTAAACTCTACAAACCCTATAAACCCTACAGACCCTAAACCCAAAAACCTTTAAGCCCCAAACCCTTATACCTTATAAACCCTAAACCCTAAACCCTAAACCCTAAACCCTAAACCCTAAACCCTATACCTTATAAACCCGAAGCCTTGAACCCCACTCCCCAAGACCACAGGCTTCCTCGACAGGGCTTCCGCCAGCGCAGTCGAAACCGCTGAGGCCGCTTCATCAAATGAGAAAGTCTCACACCTGTGGCTGCGATGTGTTGAGCTTTAGGGTTTAGGGGTAAACATTTAGGTTTTGAGCACCTTTTCCTCCAAATCCACGTTTCGGGGTTCTGGGTTCGGGGTTTAGGGTTTAGGGTTCAGGGTTTAAGGTTTTCACCAATTGAAACGCAGTCTGTTGGCTCCGATATGGACTGCCGACGATTTCTTTCGCGGCTTAGGGTCTACGGTTTCGAAAAGGTGTATCAATATTTATCAGGTTCATGGACGGTTGTTGGTGCTACAGAGTCCCATAAGGACAAGCAACTCAAGTGTTTCTTCAAGCCGCTGATGCTACTGATAGGGTGCTGATTTCACATGTGCGAAGCATCCATGTCGGCACTGCTAGTGCGGTGAAAGCGGATTTTGGAACCAGGGATGAACCGGAACCAAAAACAAACATGACAAGGGTTTTATATAAGGGTTAGGGTCTTATAAGGGTTACTATAATTGAGTAAGGGTTACTATATGTTACGTACTATGAACTATGAACCAATAAGGTAGTGAAAGGTCAATGGAAGTGGTATGAGCTAATCACAACTCATCCCAACATGCACAAAGAACAAACTGAGGAGGCAGCCGGTTCAGATCCTTTGTTGCCGCCGTGTCGGGCAGCGCCAGCCGAAACATCAACGCCACGGTCGGGTCCTGGCCGAAGGCTGGGCTTGCAGTCTACGCTTCAGGGTTTCGGAATCAAGGTCTTTTGGGGTTTACAGTTACTTGCACCCCTAAACATAAAACTTCAATTACTTGCTAATTACTTGCAAACCTACACCCCAAACTCCCTAAGCCCCAAAGCTGTCTCCGAATTGTAAACTGCGAGCACTCCAGAATGCTTTCTGGAAAGGAGAGGCTCGCAAGAATGGCTGTTGCACACATGCATCAACTGCATTTAAGAAGTTCAACACGAAAGCTGGAAGATACTGGTATGCAGGGAAGGCCCGGAGTACGTATTGGTGATGTACCGGGTGTCGCTGGTCCATTTTAGCTGAAATCAAATCCAACACCCGTACCTAAACCCTGAACCCGAGGGAAACATCATGCTTCATGCGGGCCCTGGCTGTCTGACAAGGAAACCAACTCCTTTACAACAAGGCCTCTAAGGTTTAGGGTTTTGGGTTTAGGTAAGGGCCGACAAGATCTCCCTACAGCTCCAGCAAGGGTTTACCAGAAGCAGGTGCGGCGGTTTTTCTCAACCAGCACATTCAGAGATATGACTGCTCCCTAACCTCCCAGGTACCTACTCTATATATATACATACATACATATATATATATATATACATATATATATATATATACATATATATATATATATATAGAGGGCCTTAGGGGCTCTAGTACCCTATATAGCAGGTACCTGGGGGGTTAGGGGCTACGACAGCACCACGTCATTTAGCACGGGTATAATTTCGGACTCGGACTTGAACCTTACTAAAAGAATAGGGGTTCGGGCTTTGGGTTTAGGGTTTAGGGCTTTGGGTATAGGGTTAGGGCTTTGGGTATAGGGTTAGGGCTTTGGGTATAGGTTTTAGGGCTTTGGGTATAGGGTTAGGGCTTTGGGTATAGCGTTAGGGCTTTGGGTATAGGTTTTAGGGCTTTGGGTATAGGGTTAGGGCTTTGGGTATAGGTTTTAGGGCTTTGGGTATAGGGTTAGGGCTTTGGGTTTAGGGTTCAGGGCTTAGGGTCTGGGTTTTAGGGTTTAGGCCCAGAGCTGTTGGGGCCCGAGCCTCCTAGTGGCGCAGCTGGTGTCCCTAGGGTTCCGATCGGTGCCATGGATTTCACAGGGAAACGTCGTATTTCGGAAGCTTCGGACGGCGGAGCGGATGCCTTTTGGCATGACATACGTTTGCTGTACTCAGCTGCACAGTCTCTTGAATTACCAATGATCCGCAGTGCGGCATTCCATGTTCTTCTGGACGGCAGGGCCTCCCGCTTTGGCGACCTTTGGTTCGTTTCAGGGGTTCTTCAGGCTGATTGGTTTGAAACTTCTGCCTCGACTTCGATGCGCACACCTACCTCAGTTGTGGTCAAGATTTCCGAAGCCATGTACCAGGCAGTTGCGCG